GTGGGTCTCGAGTCTCGACCGCCATTTTCTTTTCAGGTGTGCTGTTCCCGATTAAATGGGTCGATGCTTTGACTTCTTTGGATCCTTAATTAGCTATTTTTTTTGTATGAATAATTTTGAACTGAATTTTGCCTTCTAACCAACCCCTTAACCCACCTTCTAGCGAAGGTGTCGAGTTTGGCGCCTTTATGGAGCGGTGAGGAATTGAATTAACCAGAAACAGGCTGAGGACAAAGGTTTGTTTGCATTCCCAAGTGCTCGCTAGTTATAATTGAGTAGGACCTCGTGAAGACACAAAAAAAATTAGATAAATGAGATGTTGTGCAAACCAAGACATGGCAGCGGCAATTAATGAGTTAATTGAATGAAGAAAAGTTCTAGAGCAGCAAGCGACCCATACTAGGAAAAGAAAGCTCACATTCACACTTGCATTCAATAACCACAAGATTTTAATCGAACGGCCGATAAAATTCAGACCCAGCTCACAGTGTGAAAACATTGCGGCATTATTTGATTACTTCGCCTACTTAATTAGCTCTATAAATTGACAAAAGTTGAAAAGGAACACCTGGAAATAGCCAAAGACTTGGAAGAGATAATGAAGGAGAAGAAGCTGCCTACTTTAGCTCTGGGAATGATGATGACACTGATGTTATGGTCGATGACTTCTTCAGCTCTGGCATGCCCGTCCAGCGGCAGTGGATGTAAAGACTGCATCCTTGACCAGATGAAATACGGTTGTCCCTCATGTGTGCCGCTTATTCGCTGCATGGCGCAGTGCTTGTGGGGTGGCACCTCCAGGTCCAAGTGTATCAACCGCTGTGACTGCAATGGTGGGAAACCAAGACTTTCTGACTGCAAGAAATGCATGTCACGGTGCAAATGCCGTTGTGTGGCTTGAATGAATCCCCCATCCAAGTATGTTTCTATTGGTTGTGCCTTTCTATTGTAAACTACTGCCCTTAAGTGTTCTGTTCTGCTTCTTGAAAAATCTGTACTTTGTTTGCGTCTAATCTACTCGAAGCTTAAGTTCACGGACCTCAAAAAAGAGAGAATATTTATTACATGAATAACTGCTAATTCACAGATTACTAGCTAAATATGCATCTAAGCTGTAGGAAGGCATGGTACCTGATCGGCTGAGATAGCCAGGGATGCTTAGATGCGGCTGCCCGTCAATTGTCACCAGAATGGGGATTCCCCACCCCCCCTCCCCTCCCTCGCCCCCGCTTTACAAGATTTCCTTCAGGCTAATTATGCTGGCAGCAAGTTCTGACTATGCCTGGAAATAAAACAACGAAGGCTGGCCCAAAAGAGCTTGGCAAAGCAAATAAAGCAAAAGACAAAAAATTAATCATTAAATTCAGTGAAAATCAGATTATGTGTGTACTTAACATTGTACAAAGAATATGAATTGCAGATGAAGTATTGAAGATGCATTATTTACTAGTGTCTTCAAGGGGAATCAGCTGCTTATATATACCTGCAGCCAAATAGCAAAGAATTGATTTTCTACTTGCACATATCTTGAATGAATATAAATGTCTTAATCTCACAGCTGAATTATCATATTTCCTCCATTTTTTTCTCTCTTCTTTCCTCTACAAATTCAAAAATATACCCAAATGACCTCCAAGTTAAATGATCAGAGTAAAACTATTGAGTATCAACACTACTTCTCCACAAAAAGAGGCTAGGTTATATGTGTTTTGTTTCCAACCCTTCAATGAACCGTTGTCAAGGTATTTGACCAGAGCAAGGATCATTGTTATTAAGTTCCTGTTCGACACTGCTCTTTGAAAAAATACTTTGAAGCCGACATGATTACTTTAGTATCAGTTTATAAGTGGAGGGAGTATTCCATGCTACAAAGGAAAATCTGTCACTTTATTCCTCCACTCCTTCAACTAGTAACTGCCAAATTAAGGCCCCTGCCCCCAGCTTGCCTCTTCTTTGCTGACTCATAAATTTTATCATACATGGTCTTTAATAGAAGATCCTTGTCAGCTACTCCCTGGTTGTTAACATACAACAAAGAGCCATCTTCTGTGAAGAGACCCGCTTTTTTAAGCGCATGATCCCCATCACCTATTTGAGAATCCACCCACTGGGAAAGATAACGAGTCTTTGCTTCCAAATCAGCATGTGGCATCCTACAATACATATACAACATAAGTTATAAAGAGATAAACATTGACATTCCAAAAATAGAAGATAAAAATGCACAATGAAATATGCAACTAGGTGGTCTATGACAACAATTTGATCCATCACCGTCTACCCTGTCAACTGTGCCTCTAAGATGTATAAATAGTCCAAATGCAAGATTCACGCCCTCTAAAATGCATGAAATTTTTAAGCAGACCAAATGAGATAAGGGCAAGCAATCACCCTTGGTAATTGTAGCAGACAAAATTTTCAGATAACTGGACACAACATTTATAAGTCATTATCAAAACATACTAAAAGTAAAATTTAACAACAACCAGCTATCAGGGTATGCATAAACTGAAGCAAAGTCAATGTTCTCAATTGCTGAATTCTGTATAAAGTCTGATCCAAGTGAGGCTGCCCACTCCCCAGGATTCACTTCCGGTCCCCTAGTTGTATTCAGGCCAAAAAACCCCTCAAGTCCAACGGTTAGTAAATTTTTTTGATCCAGACTCTCGACAAAAGTAGCTATCTCAGTGATTCATGCCTGTATTCCAAGAAAATAGCATTAACAAAATTCTAATGGATCAAGAAAAAATAAACTGAAAGTCTGAAAGGAACCCATATAAATCAATTTAGAAAAAGAAATTCCTAGACAAAATGAAAACTAAAGAAACAATAAAAGAAAAGTGCAGAATATCCTCAAGAAGCTATCTTAGATATCAAAATACTGAACATCACTTAACATAGATATAAGATTATAACAACATCTGATGCCTAGAGATGAAAAAAGGAAGAACTCTCTTAAGTCTTAACCACTCTTCAGGTCCTCAGGCCAAAGGATTACAAACATATAGAAACAAAATAATGAAAAAGCGAGATCTATAATTCACCTGAAAAATGGGAGCACAGGAACTGGATGGACACCGAGGCTCATTCATCAGCTGGTTCATCAGCATACTTAACATCACTCAAGGGGTTTTTTCTAGACAAAATTGTCTGTAAAATATATAATGTAAACGCACAGTTAACTAGATATGATTACTACAGCCAAACAAGAAGCATACACGTGGTGACTAAAGTTATTAACTTTCTTCAATAATCCAATCAAGCCTTTGAGTTGATCTAATGTAATAGACATTCATAGAATGAGGCTTATAGCTCAATTCTTTTTAAACGCTTTCAGTGCTGACAACCTTCATACCATTATTATCCTAATATAAACGCCAAGGATTTAGCCTTGCCTCATGTAAGGCTAATTTCTTCTGCAGTAGAAATTCCAAATTTATGGTCCCCGGCTCAATCCAGAAAACAGTATCAAGCAATTTGAAAGATTGATAAATTTATAATACTCCTATAAGACTTCCCTCCAAATTCACTGCTAAATGCATCTTATTAGTAAAGAGCTTTGAAGAATGTATAACCAAGTTCCCTGACTGCGTACCTTGATGCAAGTCTTGTAGTAATCTTTAACCATTGGGTGTGAAAAAAATGAATCAGTTGAAGAAAAAAAATTAATTCCAGCTTCTTGTGCCTATCTCACATACTGGGCCTTCCCACCAAAGTTATTTAAATTATTCTTAGTATCAATCCAATTCCATGATTCCTCGCTTCAATAATCACATAATCCAATCCCTGTCACATTTTCATGCAACAATAGAAAATTAAACAGAATTAACAAAAGGGTATTCTGAATAACAAGCTAATGAAATTGTAAACAAACCCGGAAGACTCTTTCGTTAAAGACACCGGGAGAGATCTGCAAGGAATTAGGTCCATGACCATCGTTGAAAGCCCAAGTTCTGCACACAGTCAACCCCATGTGTGCCCCTCTCTGGAGCATCTTCGACACCCTTGATCTCGACGGACCACCCCACACGCTCTCCTGCATTAGCCAATAAGAGTTCCAGCCGTTGATGTAGGGCACTTGTTCTCAGCTGCAGTATATCCTTTTTTTTTTTGCAATATTTCCATTGTTTTTTTAAATTTAAAATACTGGTAGTAATATTTGCCGACGATGCATTTTAATAAAAAATGTCCGCTGGTGCACGATAAGATAAGTGGGTCTTCAGTTATCGTATGCCACGTAAAACTCATCGTGCGCTAGCTAACCTCGTTTTTTTACTTTAGGCTAATGTTATGAATTATTTTTAAATTATAATAAAATATTTAATATAATAATTAAATTTTAAAAATTTTTAATATAATACTTAAATTACAAGATTTATTAATTAATATGATATTTAAAAAATTATTTATCTATTATATATCAATGTTTGAAATTAACAATATTAAAAATAAATAATACATTAATTAATAAAATTATAATTCAAACATTATATTAAAGAATTTTAATATTCAAAAATCAAATTAAATTAAAAGTGATAACGAATTAATTAGATTTGTTTTGATTTTTTGAATAATATATAATATTATAAAATTTTAAAATTTTAAATCAAATTTATTAGTTAAGTTCAATTTATCAAATTTTTAAATTTTAATTTTTTATTTTTAAATATTATTTTAACATAATTTTTAATTTATTAAAATAAATTTAATATAAAATAATTATTTTATTTTATAAAAATTTAAAATATATAAAAATTAATAAAAATATATACTTTAATTCAATTTTTTAAAAATTTCATTTTTATTTAAATCTGATTTTAATTTAATATATATTTTTAATATTTAAATTTATTTTGAATTAAATAAAATAATTAATCAAAATCAAACATAAATTATAAATTTAAATTAATTTTTTATTTTTTCTATTTTTTTCATCCGTACATTAAATGTTTCACTACAGTTTAAGATAAATCCAAATATTACCCTTTTACTTTTATCAGTTTTTTTTTTTTTTGTACTTGTTTATTTTTATAGTGTGCTAATCTAAATATCTAATACACTATGCTTTATGATTTGGCAGTTTGATTTAAGACACCTTATTTTGCTTTAAAGTTTAGGATTAAATCTTGCAAAAACAAAATATTTGCGTCTAATTCTGATACATTATACAAAGCATAGACACATGTTTATACAATAAGCTGCAAAACAGAGTGGAAATTTTGATTACTCCCGGAGAAACCTTTGCAAGCATCTGAACCCCAAATACTCGGCACAGAACCTCTCCATTTCTGGGCCACCTCTCTCTCTGCAAACTTGCTTCTCCATCTCCTCCACCACTACATCACAATCCCTCATCGAAAATATCCCACATGGACTCCACCCTCCGTAGTAATTGTCATAGCCGTCAACTTTTGCTTCCGATATCCCATCCACTATCTCCTGCAACCCCACGATTCTACGGCTCACTTTCCTCCTCGCTTCCCTCACCGTCGGATCAATCCCTGGCACTGAGTCGAGCTTTAGTAAAAGACGCATCAGCATCTCGTCCATCTTCAGCTTCTCCCGGTCATTGCTCCTGATGGAGTCTACTGTTTCCTGCCGTTGGATTAAGTGTTGGAGACGGTTGGCCTCGGAATTGACAGCTGAGATTTGCTTGTAGAGGTTGCGGATGACGTGGGCGCGGTAGGCTGATTGGATCTTGGAGGCGGCAGCGTCCTGGGGGAGATGGACGGTGATTGGGACAGGGGTGTCGATGGGGATTTCTTTGGATTCTTGAGGTTGAGGAGGAGAATCAGAGTGGTCACTGTGGAAAGTAAAGGTAACAGTGGTTGATGATGAGTAGCCGAAATTGCAAAATCGGCGAGAGGATTTCATGGTTTCTTTTTTTTTTTTTTTTCTGCTTAAAACCTGACACAGAATGTGACTGAAGATTGTATTCTTTTTTTTTGGGGGGGGGGGGGGGAAGGGTGGGGATCGAAGGCGAGCTTTTGTGCGGTCAGCAACGAGTTTTTATTGTGTGCTCTGATTTACAGTTACGCCTTATTGAATGGTTGTAGCGCGTAATGCGCAAATGGGTGGCGTGATCATCAAGCACCGCCCGTTCACGAAGGGACCCATACTCAGCTTTTTGACGAATGGACCTGCTTTCCACGCATGCATATATACAGAGACAAGCTAGCCTGTAATAAATCAATTTGGTTCAAGCCCTGCTTTCAGCTATTCAAAATTTCAAATCATCATCATCTAAAGAGCATTTATTTTTAAGTCTAATGTCGGCTTTTCCCCTCAATCACTATTGTTTATTTACGATAGCTAATATTTGGGGCCCTTCTTCTTTATTCCTCTGTTAAGAGAAAGCTAAAAAGGCATGAATTTAGTGGAAGAGATTATTACTTATTAGGCAATTCTAGGTTCCAACATACCATCAAGCGCTACAACTAAATTAACATTGTAATCACTGGCCAAAAAAATATTAACGTTGTAATCAATAAATATACAACAAATTGACCGTTTCAGCTCAGAGAATTTCCAGTGAGATTATGTTTAAAACAACGATGGTAACACAAGTGACGTGGCATGTACACTCTTTTTATCTCCAAGAACAATAGCTTCCTCAGTCGAGTGGCGGAACAACCTTACCAGCGCAGGTTCCAAAACCAACATTATAACCATCTTCCTGTGTGGAACTTAAACTCAAAAGTGATTATTCTATACTTGGTAAAAGACTATGTAAAATTATTCAAGAACAAGACTTTAACATCAAATGATTCCAAATTCTTTGTATCAACTTTTACTTTCTACATGGATTTGGAGATAAGTGATTATAAATTGTCCTCATACGTTAGATTCAAAAACTCAATCTACTAAGCCTCTGAATTCCACAATTTTGAACCCCCACCACTATGTAAGCTTAAACCAATTACCCAAAACCAGAAAGATATCATAAAAGATTTTGCAATTTTCTCACAGTTATGTGGAGCAGAGAAACTACCTTGCAGCAACCTGTGAAGATTACTTCATCCCCATCTTCTAAGAATTTTAGCCTTGTCCCATTTAATGACAGTGGTTTCTGTCCATTCCATGTTAGTTCCAGCAAACATCCAAGAGATTCAGGCTCCTGATCAAAATATAAGAGCCTAAACTTAGAGCAAACAACACTAGACTTACTTACAGTTATTGCTAGAAGAACAAAAGAGTAAAAAGTAGATGCAGCATGAACCAATGACTATCATATTGTAACTCACATAGCAGAAAGCAACATGATCAACACCATACCAGAAATTGCTCTCAACTTTATTTTCTCTTCATTCATGGCAATTAACATAGGTACAAAAACTATTGGAATATTCGAGGAAAAATTATATGTATCACTTGAACATGACAGTTTAATAGCATAACCATTCCACTGCAATTAAAAACCAACTAAAAATGCCAACAATAGATCAATTTGTTTCTTCCACCTCTTTCTTCGCTTCAATAGAAGTCAAAATATATATTAAGAGAATTAGTTTAATGAGCTCCTCAGGGCAAGCACACATGTAATGTCCAAAGATCATCTTGACTGACTTCTTCACCACACATCAAAAGAACACCAGAAGTAGCGGATAAAGTTTGAAGATTTCTAATGTATAAACACATACATGAATACTTGTGTGTGTTTGTGTGTAAATTGGTAGATAGATACAAAGGCAAAAGGATAGAAGAGTGAAAGTTAATAAACATACAGGCCCACTAATGGCCCCAGTTCCAAGGAGATCGCCTGGCCTCAGGTTGCAACCATTGATTGTATGGTGTGCTACCTGTTGAATCAATGTCCAATATCTGTTACAAAAGTTCTACAAAACTCATAAAACATTTGAAAAGCAGCAAATCAGCATATTAAATAAGTATAGAAAGAGATGCAACATCTTCAAGTTCAAGCAATATTCTATTTTTTTCCCAGATATCAAATTTTGCATAGAATGAGGCAATTTTATTCATTGATTCATGACATCATTAAGGGAAAAGGCAACTCTCATCTGAAACGACTTTCAAAACAATAAGAGCCTTATTGAAATGGAACTCCTTGCAGATGCTTGAAATTACATTTTGTAACCACGCTTGAATCCTTTTGTCCGGAAGGTTTAATTTGAACCTAGCAGCAAGAAACAAGTTCACACATTGAGAACGTCATAAAATTTAAGTATTTGCATGAGCAAGAAAATAACTTTAAAAATGTATATTACTACAAAATTATGGCTAACTGGGAAAAATAATATAGAAGGAAAAAAAGATAACTAGTGAAGTATTGAAAATCCAATGGAGTATATACACTAAGCTGCTAGATGCTACCTCCAATGCAATATCATAGTTTTTGGATTTCTTCTCAGCCAGATATGGCAATGGATGGGGATCCTGCAATGTAAAACAGGCACCTTTAGTTAGTTCATTGAGAATAACCACCATTGAAGAGAATAAAGAAATAAGCTAGAAACTCAACTGAGTTTAAGATCTAAGACAACCAATACAGACACTTACCCGCTCAGGAGCATCACACGCAAAAGGCTCTAGCGCGTCTAGTGTCACAATCCAAGGGGATATTGTAGTACCTAAAATATGAGGAAAACAAAGTAAATTCCAGATATAACAACCTGTAGAGAATCACTCAATAGAAGACACAGCGCATGTGCAATCGTCATTAGCATTACCTGTTTTTAGCCCGATGGAGCCCATGACTTCCTTTGGTTTATCTAATATTTTCTCACATGATTAAGATGGTTAAGGGATTTCCTAGTGTTTGTTATTTGGTCCTCTATCGATATTGATCAGTTTACTCCCAATACAATAACTTCATTCCCTAACATTGGATTTTATGAATTCTTTATTATCTTGTTAATTAATTTTAGCCCCCTTTCAAAAGAAGCTGTGGCTTTGCCACATATCAGTAATTGCCTAATTAGACATATGCTTGTTGGCTTAAATCAGAAGAAAAGCAGGAATAAGTTATCTCACCAAAACTCTTCCCAAGGAACTGTCCAAGAGGGACATATTCCCATGCCTGAATATCTCGGGCTGCCAAAACCAAATGTACTTTTAATTATGGTATTGAAAAAAAATTGATGTTGAAGTGAAGCAATGAAAGATAACATACCACTCCAGTCGTTCATCAAGACAAGTCCAAAGATATGATCTGCTGCCTTATTAACATCTACGGTTTTCCCTAATTCATTTCCTGGGCCAACTACAGAAGCCTGCCAGCTTGGTAAGAGAAACCGTATCAGAGAATGATTCATGGTGAGGTACAATGAGAAAATAACATGACAATAAAACAAAAGACCATTTCAAGTTCAAAATCTAGCTTCAATGAAGGTCCAAAATATGGTGGAGAGTCACCAGTTGGATAGCCTTGACCCTCGAAGAATACAGAATTAAGCCAGTTACCATCTAAAGCTGAGTGGACAGTTCTGCGACTATCACTGTCACAAATTGTAAAGAATTAAACAGTTTGACAGAAACTCTGGATTTTAGCAGAATTTTAAGGTTAAAATATAAGGAATAAGTAATTGAACTGCTAACCTTGGTCTAATAATGTTTGTTCCAGAGATGACAATAGATGATGCTCGTCCATGATATGCAATAGGAAGATGGAACCTGGAAAGTGCATGATGCCTATGCTTTATAAATTTCCAAATGAAAGAAGGTAGGATCCATAGGGTTTGACAAAAATTTCATTCAAAAAAGCCATCACTCTTCATTTGTCAAAACTTTCAAAATCAGCATACCAGTTTGGCGGAATTGGATTGCGAGGTCTGCGAAATTTGGTCCCACAGTTCTTTGCATGATGCATGGATGAAAAGAAGTCTGTGTAGTCTCCAATTTCCATAGGAAGAACCATTTCTACCTTTCTCTAAAGATTCAAAAATAAATTGAAACTATTAGAAAATAGAAAACAAATATTTTCATACATATCACATATTGAAACTCGTTTATATTCTTACCATCGGCACAAGTGACTTCTGCCTCAAGTCTGCATTATCACGCAAGGTTGGTTCTGTAACTACACAATCCAAATAATGGTCAATTTATCCCCTTCCAAATCTCAAATATGAACTTTCAATTCAGTTGAAAACTATATTGTGCATTTGAAGGACCATAATATTACAAATTCAATAGTATTTAGTATTTCTCATGCTATCTGCAAAATCAATAAGTAAACCTAACAATAAAACACATACATGACAATAGCTTTTGAATAGTAGAACGAGCTTCCTTCCAAGCAGGCCGCCTCGGTGCCAAAAATAACTTGGTTGTGACTCGTACAGCTCTGTTTAAAAAATAGTATCTATACATTTGAAATTTAAATTTTAATATTTGTAAGCTTTTTTCTTTTAAATGGCCTTTTTTGTAAAAATAATAGTAATCGATCATATTTCACATGTTATTGTAGTTCTAATGCATTGATTTGATTTATATGTTTTTATATTATTTAATAAATATATTAATATTAAATTATATTAAACACTAAGATTATATTAGGTGTATAGAATAATAGATAGGATACAATGTTAATAATTTTATATTATGTTTAGCTTGTATTTAAAAAAAAAAAAGAATTACAAGAAGGATTAATCATTCTCTTGAAATAGGATAATCAATTCTCTCAAAGTGTAAATGATTATTTTTAATTCATGAAATGAACTTACATTCTTATTATATCTTTAAAAATTATATCAATAATTTAAATTATATAAACTTTGAGGAAAGATAATTTTGACCAATAAATAAATTATTCTATCTTAATTTTTACACATATCAAACACAAGATAAAATGATATTATTTAATCTAATTCTATTTATAATATCATCTTATCTTATTTTATTATAATCTTATGTAACAAATATATCCTAAGTATATTCATCTATAATTAATTGGTTTCATGAATATCATAAATACATAAATGATTAAGTTTGTAAATAGTTAGATTTATTCTATTTAGATTTGATTCATAATTAATTAATAATAAATATAAATTTAGACTTAAAATTTAAATGACACCAAAGAGAAAGAACATGTATACATAATTAATTACATTTATGAATATCATAAATTCATGAATATCTAAATTTATAAATAATTAAAGTACATTCAACCATAATCAAAGAAACAGTAGCACAGCTAGGATTTATATTTGCGGAGGCCAAATACATATACGAGTACACAATGTTTAAATACGTATATTATATTATGTATATATTTTATACATCAAAGTAAGAAAAAAAATATTCCTTCCGTCCCATTTTTCTTTTTTGGGATGTCTCCAAATTATGTCCTCTTTCTTTTTTTGAATATTAAAATTCTTATTTTTTATATATTAAAAATATTTTTTATAATTTTTTACTTTCAAAATCATGAAACTTTAATTTTATTAAAAAAATAAAATTTAGCATTAAACACATTAAAGTCAAAAATTTTTTCTTAAACTTCATGAAAATCAATAACATTCAAAGAATTTGAGACAAAAAGAGTATTATGAAAGCAAATATTTAATTAAAAGCCTATTTTTATTAATTCATGTTACTATTTTTTTTTTATTGTTTGTTTTATAAGTTCATAGTAATTAATGAAGCCAACTTTACAATTAATGCTAAGCATTTTTTATGCAACAAACCAATTAGGTACAATTTTTCATGAAATATTGTGGGTTTCTAATAAAAAACAATGTAAAAGAAAAAAAATTAAAAAAAATAAAAACTGGTAGATTAATAAGATTAAATAAATAGATCAATACTATGTAACTTTGAAGTTTTTAAAATTTTCATATAAATAATCTAATCAAAACTCCTACATTATAGGATGAATATTAATTTTGATTTTAATTCGTAATCTTCATGTAAACCGTTTTTAATCGTGAAGTTCTTGAATTTACTTAAAATTTATATGCCTTGATATTTTATTTTCTATTATTAAAGTATTTAGTTTATTTACACTTGAGTATTTAATTTAGTGGTTGACGCATGATCCCTCACTAAATGAACAAAACTCGAATTCTTCTTTTTTCAAATTAAAAGTATTTAGCTTATTTATTAACACTATAAGAAATGAATCAATCATTTTATAAGAAAATCCTTACACTTTGCAAACAAATATTAAATTTTAAAACTATTATTTATATAAATTTTTTATTTTTAGATAAGACAGCTTAAATATTAAATTTGAGAAAATTTTTGATATTTTAAACTTTTTTTAAGATTCAATGGATTAGAAAATTACAAATGGAAATGGGAAATATTACACTTTTAGAGGGCCATCGACTTATTTTGGAAGATATATTTAGAAAAGTTCACGTAACACCGTACGTGTATATATATATAACAAGGCCCCTCTAGCTCCCATGTGACTTCGCCACTAAGATTAACATTGATATGGCAAATGAATGATGCTAACATGACAGTCTTCACTTGACATAATATTAGAAACAGACATAACAAGAATAAGAATAATATATGACATGACAAATGAATGATACTTACATAGTAGTATCTGTTAGAAAAAAAATAATAAAAAAAATTTTTATTTTGAGGCATGAAAAATATTTTTTTCAAAGGTAATTATGCCTCTATGATATAAAAGAACTTCAAAACTCTCTAAATCAAAAGTAGTGAAACTAGTTATATTAAAAGATTTATTTATAATGAATGAATAAGTATCTATTCAAATGGTTATGATCTTTTATATAATCGTGACCTTTATGAATAATAATTTATTTATATTCAAATAGTTATAACTATTTGTCATATAATAATTATTTCTATTCAAACATAATTATTTAAAATATGAAAAAAATTAATACAAAAATTAATTTTATTCATCAATAATTAAATATTTCTATCCAATATAGAATGCACCACATTCTAAGCTACTAATAATTTTTCACTAGTTTGGAATATTGGTACTTAATTTTTAACTTTGTATACAAATAAATATTATGATTACAAGAAAGTATCTCTTAATGGTATCTGTAGATTAAACCTCAACTCTTAGTGTTAGAATTAAAAATATAACACACATAATATTTATTTATTCTTTTGTCAAAGGTTTATAACTGTTTTAACACTATTATGGTCATGTGCTTATCTTATTCATAAACATTTACAAGAGACGCCCTAACTTTTTTTGTTGAAACAATATCACTTTTATACTTATATAGGTAAAGTTTCCATTATGCCTCTATTGCTTTAGATATTTAAATAATAAACTCTATTAAGATTATAAAAACCCACCCTTCCCACATAATAGATTATACTAGTTTTTAAAATTTGAATGGATTTCACTAGTTTTTAATTGATACATAACAATAATTTATTTTTACTTATTAAACTTTGTGATTAGAGGTTACTAATTCAAAGTTGGGTTTCCATTATTGGTGTCTAATAGTAAGTGTTTAAATTTGTTGGCCTTGAATTTATTAAGCGTTTTGATTTGACAAAATAAAAATTTACCAAACTTGTTTCAATCTTGTCTAAGCTTAAATTGAATATTTTTTCACCTTTCTATCTTGCCAAAATTCATTTGAGAATCAAAACAACTCAAATTCTCAGAACAAAACATGATTTTATGCAAGTTTTGATAGAATGGATAGATCCCCTACCAAAAGGGATCGATTTTATGTTCAACCGATATCGAAAGTTCTCAAGATTTGGCAAAAACTGATTGAACCCCTCCCTATAGGGATCGATTGGTTGGGGTTTTAAAGCAGAACGGATCGATCCCCTCATTCAATGGATCGATCACTTTTTCATACAGAATATTTTTATCATGTAATTTTCCAAAAAATGAATCAATCCCATCACATAAAGGATCGATCACCTAAGGCAAGGGATCGATCTCCTCTTAAAGGGATCGATCGGTTGCTCAAGCAGAATGTTTCCCAAGTTCAAAAACCCAGAAAAGGGATCGATCGGTTGCTTAAACAGAATGTTCCCCAGTTTGAAAACTCAAAAAAGGGATCGATTTCTTCTTAAAGGGATCGATCTGGTAAGGCAAATTAGGCACAAAATTGAACCTTCTCCAATATGAACCAATTGATCCCTTAAAGGCTAACAACTCCCAACGATTATTTTTTTATTTGAATTTTTACAGGTTTAAAGCATTAAATGCAATCCAAAGGCTCTCAACTGCTTCCTAACTATAAATCAAGCATTCCACTACAGACCAAGAGTAACAAGAGCTAAGAAAACTTATTGCCAATCACCTACCAATTTGCTTAAGCATTCAAAGCTGTTCCAAATTAGAAAAGTGCAGAATTCATATAAGTTTTTCTCTATTTTATTGTTTATACCACTGTGTACTTCAAATTAGCAAACACCCAACCTTTAAGAGGTTCTTAGAGTTTACAAAATACTTCATATCTCTATATTGTGAGTTTGTGAGCTTAAGGGGGAGGATAACCTTTAAGAGTATATTGTGTTGAGTTTGTAAAGCTTAGAGAAGCTTGGTTGTAATCTTCAACACTTATAGTGGATTGAACTCCTTGACAAGAGAGGCTAAGAGAGAGGACGTAGGTGCCTAAGAAATGATCGAACCTTTATAAATCTTAGTGTTATATTCTCTATCCCTATCTCTCATTTACTTTCAATTATTGTGTTTAATTGTTTAGCAAAATTTATGCTTATTGAATATTCTTTTTTCAAAAATTTATTAAAACCAATTCACCCCTATCTTGGTTTATTTCAAATCTTTAAGCTAACAATTGTATCAAAGCTAACACTCTTTTTTATAAGTTTAACAGCCCAAGAGTAATCCTGAAAATGACTCAAAAAAATATGGTAATCAATATGGAAGAACCATCTTCAAGCTACAACAACTATACTAGCCAACAAGAGGTATGTTTTATGGCAAATGAAACATTACAACATCTCTTGAAAGTGAGGGACATTTAATTATAAGACCATTTCTCTTTGTTGGTGACAACTACTCCTATTGAAAGACTAGGATGAGGTTGATCATTCAAGCTAATGATTATGAAGTCTGAAGGGTCATTGTTAATGGTCCTCAAATTCTAATGAAAATGATGGATGGTAAGGAGGTGATCAAGCTAGAAAATGAATGGGATGTCAATGACATAAATATGGCTTAACTCAATGCCAAAGCAATGCATACACTCTTTTGTGTATTGGGGTCAAGTGAGTATAATAAAATTTCTTTATGTAAAAATGAAAAAAAAAATTAGGATAAGCTAGCTGTTACTCATGAAGGTATTAATCAAGTGAAAGAGATAAAAATTGGCATGCTCACTCACGATAATGAGCTATTCAAGATAAAACCAGATGAAACTATTAGTGAAATGTCA